GGAAAGAGATTACCCTCCCCAGCTTCACTACAGTTAGCTCACGGCAGTGTGCTCAAGTTTTATCTGCAGCCCAGTCACAGTTGTTCACGAGGAATGAATTGCAGTTTGCTAGCATAAATTTCCCACTGTGCAGCTGTTTGTTCGTTTCATGCTGCTTCTCTGCTCTGTTGAGGCTGCTAAATGAGTCAATATTACCTTAATATAAGCATGAGAAGTGTAGTTAATGTTATTAAACTCCATATTTAAAAACATTTATTTAAATAAAAGTGAATATCAGCAAAATATTCTCCTAAGGTACATGCCTCCAATAATCAGCACAATAACTTAATTGGCGTTCTGGTATGCAGTGGTTGGGTCTATGCCAATTAACGACCCATTCCTGCAGTGTCTATGCAGGCAAGACTCCCATTGGATTCTGTCCATCTCTTGAAGCTGATGTGAGTTTTGCTCAAGAAAGGACTGCAGAATCAGCCCTTTGCTGGTATACGCTCCAATAGACCCATAAACATGCCCAGTAGGGCCATCAGAAGATCTTCTGGACTAAATTCCAATCTGGCTTACTTATTAGTGGAATAATTCTGTTGAAGTCCATGGAGCTGCTCAGATTTTACAGCAGTATAAAATAAATCAAAATCTGGCTCCTACTGTATTGATATTTTTTTTTGGTCTTGAACTGATTGCAGTCTATTTGCTGCTATATTTCCATTCCGGCCATTTAATTTTATTTAAACCTATTCTAAAATCTTCAAGATAATTTTGCTTTGCTTTACTGTTAAATGACGGTGGGGTTTGTGTGTTTGTTTTCCTTTCTAGGGTTTTCCATTCTTCAGGCAATTATGGAGGCAGCAGTGCAGAACAACTGGCAAGTGACAGCCAGATCCATGGGAAACATAAAGGATGTTCAAGAGTTTAGGCGAATCATAGAGGAAATGGACAGACGACAAGAAAAAAGATACTTAATCGACTGTGAAGTAGAGAGAATAAACACCATTTTGGAACAGGTAACTTTCTGGATCTGCACTCTTGTGTCACAGACTTCATTTCCATTTTTGGAAGGTTTTGGTTTTGGAATGGTCTGGTGATAGAAATGAATTAAATGACTATTAAACCAGGAGCCCAAGAACCTGCCAATTATCCTTATAAAAATAACAATCCTGGAGGCATTCATGTTTTGTGGCAACTCTGCTCAATGTAACCCAGCAGAAAACATCTCTGTAAATTTATTTTTTTTTCTACATATAAATAGAGATTTTTTAAAAAATAGGGTCAAATACTAAAAGCCTTCACTCATAAAAATAGCCCTAGTCCCATATGGACTACTCACGTAGGTAGGGGGTTGCCAGGGGTGGGGTGGCTGAGTAGACATTGCACAGCATTCACAGTGGTGTGTGCAAGAACCATGGGGCCTGGGAAAAAATGGCCTCCTGGTAGTTTTGGTAACCTTCCCAAAGCAGGTATGAATGAAGTGAGGCCATGGTCCTATCCTCTTCACTACTAACCAGTCTAGCGCTCTGGACAGAGGAGGGCATTCAGCAG